CCCCAGGGTCTGTTCAGCCGCCCGTGGCTCAGAGGCGGCAACGAACGTTTTTGGGTCTCTGGCAGGAAGCAGGGGTGCAAACAGGTTCTTGGGGCTCCACACCGGTGCTCACTCTGTCCTGTCCATGCTGAGGTCCCTTCTTCAATGTCGCCGGCATCCTGTAGGCTGGCTGCTCAGATGCGTGTGCTCCTAGCCAGTGGACAGATGGTCCTCCACCAGCGTGACTGCCGCGTTCTGATCGATGGGGCTGTGGTAGCGATCCCAATGTGTGGTGGCGTTGGGCAACCCCTTCACAAATTGCTCCATGACCACCAAGTCCAGCATACGGGCTTCTTCCTACATGGGCCCTGGACACAGCCACCTCGCCTCGTCTTCGAGCTGCCTTGCCCATGCTATCAGCCGCTCCCCTCCGGCATCTGATCAGCGTGGAACTGCTGCCGGTAATCCTCCGGGGAAAGACCAAGGTGATCCAATTCTGCCTGACAGACATCACGTCATGTGACACGCTGGCACAGCCGCAGCCCCCATCAGCCACTCCAGTACAGCGGTGTCCCACTCCAAGTGGTCCCGCAATACCCCCAGCTGCTCCTCCTGCGCAGCCGCCTGCTGTGCGGACATCACCTGGCCCACAATCTGGAGCGGGCGGAGTGAATGGGGGGTCCGACATAGCACCAAGATTTCAGCACCACTGTGGTAAGGACCCCACGCACACACACAGTTGGCAGTTTGCTCTGTTATCTTTTATTGTCTGTGGGCAGCAGATGCTGTTGTTTCGGTGCTCAGTGTCATTTAACCTGACCCAGCATACCTGTTTCAACCACACCCCCGTGCCGCTCCTGCGAGCTCACTGTGCTACCCCTCCACTACAGCAGGCCAGAGACCACTGTATGGTCTGCAGTGGTGAGAATTACAGAGGAAGAATCTCCACCACTGAAAACAGCTTCACCTGAAAGTTAAACACTGCTGTAATTTAAGTTAATTTCATAAAACATCACAGAACTCAGATCAGATAAATAACTTACATTAAGAAATTTGTGATAAACATCAATAAATCTATTTTTTTCTTCTTTTCTTTTCTTTTCTAGACTATGTTCTGGGGTGTGTAAATGGAATAGGAAGAGATTACAGAGGAAGAAAGTCCAGAACAAACTCAGGAAAGATCTGTCAAAGATGGGACTCAAGCTACCCACACAGGCCAAAGTATGTGTTTGCATTTGATTTTGCATCATCATTTCATATCCTTTTATGCCTTTGTAAGATTTGTTCTTAATGTTTCTGCTGCAGTTTCACGCCGCAGAGCCACCCACAAGCAGAGCTTTACTCCAACTTCTGCAGAAACCCTGATGGGGACAGCAATGGACCATGGTGTTACACTACGGATCCTAATGCCCGCTGGGAGCACTGCAACGTACCTAGTTGCTCTGGTAGGATTCATAATTCATCTAATTATGGCCGTTGTCAACAACCCATATGCATACATTTTTTTTCTCTTAACTACTCTTGTGTTTTTCTGAACCAATGGCCAAACAATTCCTCTCTTTTTTTCTCCATTGTTTAACAGTTTCTATCCTTGTAAATAATCTCAAAAGAAATATAGCTTGGTTCTTGTGAAAAGTGAACATGTACATTCCAATTTTTATAAATTCACACACTGCAATTGACTAAAAAATGACATCTTCTCACTTTGTCAGAACTCAGACCTGTCAGCCTTCAATATTCTGCTCTTTCTGTCATGGTTCTGGGTCTTTTGACCCAGTATTTGAGTTTAATGCCTTTTTGTAGTATTATGTTCTAATTTGTATTGTTTAGGTTTCAGTTAGTTCTGTTTGAGTTTTCTGTTTGCCAATTTAGTAGTGATGTGCAGATCGATCCTGAAATATCGATTCCTCCGATACCAATCATTTATGTTCTAGAATCGATTCTCACAC